ACGAACTCCAATTCAAAATCTTCCCAAGAGGATCCAACTCGCCGACCGTGATGTCCCGAAACGCTCGAATCATCCAAAACTGGGCAAGAAGGAGGAATCATGGGGAAGGAGGAGTCCGTCCTGGCTAGATTACCCTGGAGACGGAGCCTTAGCTGCTGCCGCGGTCTTGGGAGCATGAGCGCCCCTCTGGACCGTCTGGCGGGCAGCAGCTCGCACGTCTGCAGGGACTGCTGTGGGGCCCGCTGCCTTGACTGGCGTAGCGGGTGGAGGCGCCTTGCCTGTCGCAGCCGCCTCAGCCGCTGGGGCTCCACCACCAGCTTTTGCAAGGGTGCGCGCAGCCTCATTGTCAGAAGACGTCGCAGCCGTCGAACCTCCAGCCGCAGAGGGCGTGTCTCCAGCAGATGCAGCTCCAGCGGCGTCCGCCTCATCAACACCATCATCACCCTGGCGTCGACGCTTGTGGGCCAAACGCTCTTGCTGCTCCTTGTGCGCGATCTTGTGCTCCTCGGCGCGCTTCTTGAGCTCACCGAACAACTTCGTGCACGTGTCCTTGATGCAATCGGCCATCTGACTCTTGCGCCGAGCTGCCTCCTCCAGGTCCCCTGCAGAAGCCTCAACGTAGTCCTCGAGCCCGAACAAGTTCCCGTCGTCCACCTGCAAACCTGTGAGGCGACCCTCCAGGATGTCAGTGAGGCTGATCGTGGGCATGGACTGCTGCTGCTGCTGGGCCTGGGGCTTGGACACTGTGAGATGCAGCTCTGCGATGGCCATCTTGTACTCAGCATCGTACTTGTCCAGCTCAGCCAAGGTCGACTCCAGCTGGGCACGGAGGGTCTCGAGCTTCTGCTCCACCGTGTGGACAGCTTTGAGGTCCTTGTCAAGCTTCTTCTCAAGTCTCGAGATCTCCTTGTGAGCAGCATCAGCCCGCTCTTGAGGTGGGACTGATGAACTGATGACTCCTTGTGCTTCTGCAGCTCCTGCTGGGCCTGCTGCAGCAGCACTTGGTTACCCATCCTCTCACACAACTGCACCATCTGCTCCAAATCAGACTTGCTAGCCGAGGAAGAAGGGGCTGAAGCGAAGGATGCCTTGGTGGCCTGACCAGCGGCAACGCCAGCAGCCTCTCGACGAAGTGCCGCTGGGTCGCCACGTGCCTTGTCCCCCGCAGAACCATCGTCGATGGGGGCGTTCCACCATTTCCTGCAGTGCTTGCAATAGCTGTAGAAATTCTCATTGCGCTTGCACCCGCAATGGCGACATGACCAGCGAGGGCCACGAGCGTTGTCGCCAACACCAGGCCACGCCTTGGGAGCCATTGCGCGAGTGCCGTCTTGAGTGATGCCGCGCCAAAAGGCCCGCTGTCACCCAGCCGTTCTGAAGTGTCGGTGGCAGCAAGCTGAAAGATGCTTCAGCCAGAACGGCTAGGACGAGGAGGAGGAGGAGGAGGAGGAGGAGGAGGAGGAGGAGGAGGAAGAGGAGGAGGGTGCTCCAACGTGTCCACTATGTCGTCGGCCTGGGTGTGAGGTAGCACTCATTTGCCTCGTTCTGTTTGGCGGTTTGTGGTCCTCGTGCTCGTCCGTCTCCGATTCCTCGTCCTCCCCGGTTCTGTCATCCTCTGTCCAGGTGTATCCGTCGAGCTTGCGGTCAATCTCGGCGATGTATTCGTTCAGCTGGGTGAGGTGCTCCTGCCCGTTGTTCCTTGCGTCCTTGAACGTCTTCCTGTACTCATCGACGTCCTTGAGCTGGTCTCTGATGGGTAAGCTGTTCTCCATCATGTCTTTGGGATATCACGCTGAGCGAGTCTTGTATGGATAGTTCGGCGTGGTTGTTCCTCAGTGCAACGAGCGAGTAGAATTTGAGCTTCTGGAGCCTGTTGTTCACGTGGTGCAAGTCAATGAGGATCTGGGGATGGTTGATCGCGTCCCTCTTTCTCATTGGTATGACATCTGAGATGAATGTACCGATGATGGCGTTGTGATGGGTGGTCGTCTTCTCTTCGTCGTCCCTGCGGTTCTCCTCCTTCTCGTGTTTTGCCATATGGCTCTGGTTCCTCTGGGTGCTGTTCTTGTCGTTCTTCCAGTTTCAGTGGGGGTTGTCCTCTTTCTATAGTCATGCGCCGACTGCTGGTTTAGGTCATGCTGCTGGCTTCGGTGATGGTTGTGGTCGTTGTGGTCGTGGTTGTCATTTGGGTTGGTATTTGGGTGCTGCTTTCGGTGCCCTGGTGGCTGCCCGAAGTCGCCGTAGTTGTTGGGCGCTGCGATGAGCGCCCAGGAGGTCCTGTGCGTTAGCGATGCGCCACAGGACCCGAGCATGGGCACGCGCCCTCCGCAGCCGCCTGTGCCATGCGGAGCTGCGGGACCAGTGGGTCCTTGATGTCATTGTAGGCGTGGGGCCTCGCAGGCTGGCGAGAGATATCGCGGTAGACTATCGTTGCCGCTGCGGTCCTGCGGGCAAACGCGCTGGCCACCGCCACGAACGTAAAGGCCTGTCCCTCGGGCGCGCTCGGTCCTTCGCGGCTCTTCCTCCTCCTCCTCCTCCTCCTCTGCCTCCTCCTCTTCCTCTTCCTCCTCCATTCCTTCTCCTTGTGCATATTTTCTCCATGTCTCGCCCCGAGGCGTGTTGGTAGGGCGGGCCAGGCGTTTCGCTTGAGACTTCCTCATCATTCATGATCCTTGGGTTGAGAGTTTTCAACAGACTCACGGGTGGAGGGTGGGTGGTTTTTAATATGCGGCTCTCGCTTCAGCGCCGCGCACACTCGTCGCACAAAATGGTAGGAGCTTCACGGATGGAGAGCGAGCCGTTTCAACATGTGGCTCTCGACTCAGCGCATCGCACATTTTTGAAGAAGTGCAACAGTTTCGCGGATAGGAAAGGTTTTTTTTCATGTAACTCTCGCTTCAGCGCCGCGCGCATTCGCTTTAAGAGTTTACAGCAGTTTCCAGGAATTTCGCGGCTAGCGTCCCACCCAGATTTGGTGCTTTTTGGCGCGATGTCGGGCTGTCAGGGCGCAACAGTTACGCTGATTCGCGGTGTTGAAGTCGCAGGAATCGTGTTCTGGTACGATTCAAAGTCGTCAAGACGCAGCAGTGACGGTGATCCGGGGCGTTGAAGTCCCAGGAAGGGAACTCTGGCGCACTTCAGGATTTGCAAACGGTTGTCATCCGACGGGGCGTTTCCCTCAGTGAAAGTGACTCCTGCTATGGGACCTGTGAGGAGGAGGGTTTGTTGCAATATCGTTGGCGAGTCTTGGGTTTGCACTGGTCCTCCTCCTCCTCCTCCTCCTCCTCCTCCTCTTCCTCCTCCTCCTGCCCCCCCTTTGAGATCCGACGTCGCAAACAAGATCGAAGCCTCGTGAGACGTCACGACCAGATGCCTCGACACCATCATTCCTGCGACAGATCTTTGGCCAGACCGATCCCGGAAGGGTCCTGGGGCCCGAGATCGACAACACCCGCTCGCCGCCTACCCAGACATCCGACGTTTCGATTTTTTCGAGACACGGGCCCCCCACCTCCCGACGACTTCCCCAGGACCGATTTTTCGTCCCGAGTCGTTTTTTGACGGCCCCGGGGCTCGGCAAGGGCCTCTAGAGGCCGCAAGCCACGAAACGCCTCCGTCTCGATCTTGACGAGACGCCCGATGTCTGGGCCCTTCTCTCCGACCGCCGACCGACCGCTGGCTGAGACTTCGGGGGCACCCCGCCCTGGAGGAGGAGGAAGAGGAGGAGGAGGAGGAGGAGGAGGAGGAAGGGAGGAAGGGAGGAAGGGAGGAAGCAAGGAAGGGAGGAAGGAAGGAAGGGAGGAAGGGAGGGAGGGAGGGAAGGAGGGAGGGAGGAAGGAGGAGGAAGGAAGGAAGGGAGGGAGGAAGGGAGGGAGGGAGGGAGGAGGAAGGGAGGAAGGGAGGCAGGGAGGGAGGCAGGGAGGGAACCACCGCCCTGGGCGGCGGCCCCTGGGGCTGCGGGGTGCGCCTGTGGCCACGCGCGGGCGCCCGGCCGGTGCTTCGCAGAGGGAAGCGCGGCTGCCCTGGCCGAGCTGTCGCGGGCTCTTGTCGATTATCATTCGGGCGACGAGCCCTGACCTCCTCGCGTCGTGAAGAAAAAACGCGACGGGAGGTTTTGCGCCATTTTCGGCCTCGGGGGGCCCTTCCCGGGCCTCGGGGCCGTCCAAAAATGCCTCCGGACGAAAAACCGGTCCTGGGGAAGGGGTCCAGACCTCTGGGGGTCGACGCTGTGAAAAAAAACACAGCGCCGGGGGTCTGGGAGATCTGTACACGTCCACCGCCCCATGGCTGGGCTTAAGTCGGGCCTGTTCCCCTACAGGAGATTTTCGACGAAAAGTATAAAACATTCAAGAATAGTCCAAAAATGGTACAAAAATAATAGTCCCAAAAAAGTATCAATACAATAATAAGAACAGTCCAAATAGTCCAAGGATAGTCCAAAAAATAGTACAAAAATAGTATCAATACTATAAAAATAGTTTTTTTTGCCTTTCTGGGGTACTTGTGGGGATTTTTTTATTTTTCGTCGAAAATCCCCCTGTAGGGGGACAGGCCCGACATAACGCTGGGCCCTCCCTGGGCCCAGGGGCTGTGTCTGCGCCCCCCCCTGGGGCCGGGCGTGTCGTGCGCGCCGCTGCGGGCTTCATATGGTGGGCCTGGCCAGGGCGCAGCGGCTGTGTGTAGATGTCGTCGCCCTGATCATTGATCGTGGTCGTGGCCCATGTCCATCGGGGGCGGCAAAGAGGGGGGTGATGACTAGGGGGGGGGGATATCATGGCGGGGGCCATGCTATTCCCCCAGATATCATGCCGCCTCTTCTTATTTCATTAGGTCCCTGGCCTCCCCGCTGGGCCGCGCACATGCCGCCGGTCATGATTTGCACCCCCCCCTCTTGGACACCCCCCTCTTGGCCGCTCCCGAGTCCATGCCCGCCGCCGCCGATGTCGCGAGGATGCTCCATCAATTGACGACGACCGAGGCGAGCGGTGGCCAAGCTCGACGCCAACGTTTCCGCGCGCAGTCTTCCCCCCCCACGGCCGCCCCCCGCCCGCGGGGGGGGACGCCGCCGCGCCATGGAGGGCGCCGACGACTGGCCGGCGCCCGACGGCGGCCGCCTGGAGCGCGCCGAAAGCTGGTGCGAGACTCGGGCCGAGCGAAAGGGGGGATAGGGAAAGGGGGGGGGTTATGACATTCGGCGGCGAGCGAGGGGGGAAGTGAGAAGGAGAGGGCCTTCTCCGAAGGCGGCGGGCCTTCTCAGAAGCCCTCGCGCCTTCTGAGAGGCTTTCTTTGCCCTCGGGGAGGGCTTGGGAAAGCTCTCAGAAGGCTTGGGGACTTCCGAGCTTTCTGAGAAGGCCCGCCCCTTCTCGCTTCCCCCCCGCGCTCGCCGCCCAGACATCTGCTGCGTACACCTGGCTTCGGCCCCGCCGCCAAGCCCATTCCTCGATGTGCACCGGGCGCCTCTTTCGGCGCCGGGAGGCGCCAGGAGGAGGAGAAGGAGGAGGAGGAGGAGGCGGAGGAGGAGGAGGAGGAGGAGGAGGAGCAGGACGAGGAGGGGAGGAGGAGGAGGAGGAGGAGATGTGGAGGTGGAGGAGGAGGAGACGGGGGAGGAGGCGGAGGAGGAGGAGGAGGTGGGGAGGAGGAGGAAGGAGGAGGGATGATGATAGGGGGCGGAGGATGTCATGAGGTGGAGGAGATGGAGAAGGAGGAGGATGGGAAGAGGAGGAGGAGGAGGAGGAGGAGGAGGAGTGGATGAGGGATAGGGAGGAGGAGGTAGGAGGAGGAGGAAGGGAGGAGTAGGAGGAGGAGGAGGGGGAAGGGGAAGGGGGAGGAGGAGGAGGAGGATTGTCACGGCTGTCGTTTAAGACACGGGTAATGTTTTACCGCTTCGTGCCCTAACAATGGTGGCACGCCATGTTCAATTCCAATTCCAAATCGAACACCAGAAAACACTGAACTATCTGCAACCTAAATCATGCTACCCTGGGTGGTGCATACGGTTTGATATGCAATGCTAATTCAACTGGGATGCAACCTGGAATGCATGAGTAAGGTCCCCCCACGGCTGTGAAGCAGGATGGTTTACAACTGCCTGGCCTCTTCCCAGAGGAGGGCCACCCCACGACTGTGAAGCACACTTAGCTGCCCCGTGCCAACACTTGTGAAGATGCGGCTACTACAACGCATATGCTGTGCAACACTCGCGCCAATGCCCTCCACAGCGCGGCCTATGGCCGCACATGGCCTACACGCGGGCCCTTTGCACGGTGGCTGGTAAGCCCCCCACCCCCATGCCTGACACTGCCACCTATGCCCCGCGTGCAACTGCGGAGACCCCAGGCCTGCTACGGCCTACTATGGTCTGTAACAACATGTCAAAGCATGAGCCTACCTGGCTACTCCTCCACGACGTGGCTGGGGCACGGGGCCAAAAGCACGAGGAGGAGGAATAGGATGAGGAAGAGGAGCAGTAGGAGGAGGAGACCAAATAACGCAATACCAGACAAGAGATTACTCTTCCGTACCAAACACTTAGATCTCTCCCCCTCACCTCCGATTTACACGGGACATCCTCCAATGCGCGGGGACTGCGTGCCCCATAACACGGACTGTGCGTCCCATGTACCAGGATTGTGTGTCCCATAATCGAGACTGCGCGTCCCATTTGCCAGGGATGTGTGTGTCCCATAGCAGGGACTGCGGGTCCCATTTGCCAGGGCTGCGTGTCCCATAACAGGGACTGCGCGTCCCATTTGCCAGGACTGTGTGTCCCATAATCAAGACTGCGCGTCCCATTTGCCAGGAATGTGTGTCCCATAGCAGGGTCTGCGCGTCCCATTTGCCAGGACTGCGTGTCCCATAACAGGGACTGTGCGTCCCATTTGCCAGGCCTGTATTTAATGGGTGTCCCATTTTTTTAATCGAGTCTGCGGCCGTCCCATTTGCCCAGGGGGGCTGCGTGTCCCATAATCGAGACTGCGCGTCCCATTTGCCAGGCTGCGTTTCTGTCCCATAACAGGGGGGGACTGTGCGTCCATGTGCCGGACGGTGTGTTCCCATAATCGAGACTGCGGTCCCATTTGCCTAGGAATGTGTGTCCCTAGCAGGGACCTGCGGCTCCCATTTGCCAGGACTGCGTGCGCATAACAGCCACTGCGCAGTCCCCATTTGCGCGAAGGCCGCCAGCCATAATCGAAGACTGCGCGTCCCATGTGCCAGGGATGTGTTCCTTTAGCAGGGACTGCCGCGTCCCATTTGCCAGGACTGCGTGTCCCATAACAGGGACTGTGCCTCCCATGGGCCAGGACTGTGTGCCCCATAATCGAGACTGCGCGTCCCATGTGCCAGGAAGGTGTGTCCCATAGCAGGGACTGCGCGTCCCATTTACCAGGGCTGCGCGTCCCATTTGCCAGGGATTGTGCGTCCCATTTGCCAGGGCTGTGTGTCCCACAATCAAGACTGCGCGTCCCATTTGCCAGGAATGTGTGTCCCATAACAGGGACTGCGCGTCCCATTTGCCAGGGCTGCGTGTCCCATAACAGGGACTGCGCGTCCCATTTGCCAGGACGGTGTGTCCCATTATCGAGACTGCGCGTCCCATTTGCCAGGAATGTGTGTCCCATAGCAGGGACTGCGCGTCCCATTTGCCAGGGCTGCGTGTCCCATAACAGGGACTGTGCGTCCCATTTGCCAGGACTGTGTGCCCCATAATCGAGACTGCGCGTCCCATGTGCCAGGAAGGTGTGTCCCATAGCAGGGACTGCGCGTCCCATTTGCCAGGACTGCGTGTCCCATAACAGGGACTGTGCGTCCCATTTGCCAGGACGGTGTGTCCCATAATCGAGACTGCGCGTCCCATGTGCCAGGGACTGCGCGTCCCATTTGCCACGACTGCGTGTCCCATAACAGGGACTGTGCGTCCCATTTGCCAGGACGGTGTGTCCCATAATCGAGACTGCGCGTCCCATGTGCCAGGAATGTGTGTCCCATCGCAGGGACTGTGCGTCCCATTTGCCAGGACTGCGTGTCCCATAACAGGGACTGTGCGTCCCATTTGCCAGGACGGTGTGTCCCATAATCGAGACTGCGCGTCCCATGTGCCAGGAATGTGTGTCCCATCGCAGGGACTGCGCGTCCCATTTGCCAGGACTGCGTGTCCCATAACAGGGACTGCGCGTCCCATTTGTCAGGCCTGTGTGTCCCATAATCGAGACTGCGCGTCCCATTTGCCAGGAATGTGTGTCCCATAGCAGGGACTGCGCGTCCCATTTGCCACGACTGCGTGTCCCATAACAGGGACTGTGCGTCCCATTTAATTAATCAGGGCTGCGTGTCCCATAGCCCATAGCTGGGACTGCGTGTGCCATGCGCCTGCCCTCTGGGAGGACCGCCCCATCGGCCATAGGCCATAGGGCATAAGGGCTGGAAGGCTGGAGTGCGGGTCGCATAGCATCACATCACAACCGCATCGCATCGTGCTTCGGTATCAAATTTTGGGTTGCGCACGATCAACATGGCAACTACTGCGCCTACCTTACTACCCCCCTCTGTGTCAGGGGGTGAGGTCCTACTCGGGGATCCTTCTCGCTTCAACGTGGCGTACCGCTGCTGGGATACTTCCAATACTAAAATTCGACACCTACTGCTACAAGAAGGGCCCCACGATTGTGGGGCACCAAAAACCCGGAACGCGCCGTGGCCGCCTCTCTGGTGGGCGATGGCCTGCCCCACGACTGTGAAGCCCCCTAAAGCGCCAGCCCAGGCCCCAGGGCCGCCCCACGACTGTGAAACCTCAGGGCCGCCCCAAGACTAAGATGAACAATGCAAGGCGAACCTTGTTGGCCCGGCTCGCCGGGCTCCTTAATTATCCCCCCCCCACGTTCACTAAGTGGTCCTGTCGGCTCCTCACTAGCAGATCCCCAGTCTATGAAGGGTGCTGCGTTAAATTGGGGTGCCAAGGGGGTCACTCTCCCAGCCCCTTAGTCAGAGGGGTCTGGGCCCTTCTGTCCCCTACAAGTGTGAACCCTACATGGTGCATACGGTCTCCGTTGTTTCTCTACCCCCCTGGCGTGGCTGGGGACTGGCATTCGCCCCAGCCCACGCTCTGATTCTAGCCCTTCCCTAACCCTCTCAGGCGGTTATATGGAATGTGCGGGGAATGAGACAGTGTCCCAGCCTAAACTCAGACTCCTACTTTTCTCTACCCTCTTTGCGTGATTGGGGAATGGCATTCGACCCAGCCCACGCACTGACTCCAGTCTTTGTCGAACCCCCTCTGGCGTGGCTGGGCAATGAGATTCGCCCCAGCCCACGCTCTGACCCTGGAGGGGGCCCCCCCTTAGTGGGAGGGGTAGGCCAGACGCAACAGACTACACAGTCAAGCAAAGCGATCCCCCGCAAGCGTGTCCCCCACCAACTCCCCCCTCCTGTCCACTTCGTGGGCCGATACCCAACAAGAGGTAACAGGGGCACCTTGCTAAATTGGGGTGACAAGGGGGACCTGCTCCCAGCCCCTTAATCAGATGGTTCTGGGCCCTCCTGCCCCCTGCAAGTGTGTACCCTACATGGTGCATACGGTACTCGCTTATCCTTTTACCTTCCCGGTCACGTGTCTTCCCGCGACTAGATTGCAATTCAACCCTCCCCCCTCCCCCTCAGACAGTGAAACATGCCACCCCCCTCCCTCAATGCTTATCCAAGTGGGAGCGACAACTAAGCCGTCCAACGCATGAGTGGCACCTGCCTCAACAGGAGGGGTCAATGCATGAGGTAAGGGGGTCCCATCATGTGGGGTCAACGTATGAGGGGCCAAAGCCCCAGCATCAGGGATAAACGCATGATGTAAAAATGGCCAAGACACCAGCCTGAGGGGTCCGCGCATGAGGGACCAACTCTCCAGCATGAGGTGTCGGTGGGGGGGCGCCGGAGGCCCCTGCCACTGTCGCCCCGCTGTTCACTCTCCTGAGGGCTCGAAAGGGGTGCTCATCGGATGCGGGACCCCCGCACCCTTAGTGGCGCCCCGTGCGTCTCCAAACGATTCCCCCAGAAGAGTATAGAACAGCATCGGCACGGGGAGGAGGAGGAGGAGGAGGAGGAGGAGGAGGAGGTGGTGGAGGGGTGGGATGGAGGTGGTGGTGGTGGTGGAGGTGTGGAGGGTAGTGGTGGTGTTGTGTGGAGGTGGAGGAGCATTGCTCGTAGTTTTTGGGAGGTGGTTGGTGGTACGTCCGGTTGTAGGTAGTGAGTTGGTAGGGAGTGTGTTGTTGTAGTAGGTGTTGTGTGTGGTTTGTTGATTGTCTGACTGACTGTGAGGTAGTTGTTCGGTTGGTCCTGCGTACTTGTTGAAGTGTGGTGGTGGGGTGGTGGGGGGGTGGTTGTGGTGGTGGGGATTTGTTGTTGTTGGTACTGTGTTGCTTGTGGTGGATGTGGTGGGTGGACTGGTTGTTAGTCGTCGTAGTAGTCGTCAGTGGGGTCGTCGTAGTTCAGTAGTCGTCGTCTGACGGACGTCGAAGTCGTCGTCGATAATAATCATCATCATTAGTGTTACTTTACTACTTATTAATTCTAACTTCTAATAATAATACTAATACTACTACTAATACTAATACTATAGTACTACTATTCAATACTAATATTAGTAATAATAGTAATAATATACCTCAATTTACTAATAATAATGATAATAATATATGTAATAATAATGATTTTTAATACTAATGATAAAGGAATTGATAATTAAATAATTGCATTAATAAATTACTAATATAATAATAATACTAATTATAATAATGACGATGAGATGATGGATGATGATGATGATGTGATGATGATGTTGATGATGAATGATGATGATGATGATGATGATGCATGATGATGACCCCGATGATGATGATGATGATGATGATGCTGTGGATGATGATGATATGATGATGATGATGTGATGATGATGATGATGATGATTGTGATGATGATTGATGATCATAATGTTAATACTAACAAGAAGACAAAGAGCTGGGAGGTGGAAGGAGGCGGGGAGGAGGAGGAGGAGGAGGTGCAGGAGGATAGGAGAGAGTGAGGAGGAGTGGAGGAGGAGGAGGAGCGAGGAGGAGGGGGGCCCGCCGCGCGAGCCGATGCTCTGCTATGCCCTTTGCCATCCTGCCATCCTCGGCCGGCCCGAGAGACGGAGTCCGTGGGCAGCGCGTGCAGCGCCCCCGGCGGCGCCGCGCGCGCGCTGCGGAGGGCCGTGGGCAGCAGCGGGGAGGCGCGGCGAGCTCGCGTCGGCGGCGGCGGGCGGCGCGAAGCAGCCACGGCTGGAGGGTTCTGCTGGTCAGTATCGTTTATCCGATCCCCATCCCCATCCCCATCCCCTTCGAGACCCCCACCAAATTACCACCCCAGTTGGGGATACACCCCTCGAAACCCGAAGGGGACGACCTATATCCCCATCTAGGGGGGTAAATCGGCCAGTGGGACCCAGGCCACGCCGCTGGGGATGGGGATCGGTTGAACGATACTCAGTTGGCCGTTTGCGGCCAGCGCCCCAGGTCGGCCAAGCGCAGAGGGGTGTGGGGGGAGGGAGGAGGATTCGTACGGCCAGGCCGGGGTATAAGATCGAGGTCGGCTCGGGCAGAGTGCATTCATGTTCTTCGTGCTCTGCTTGTCTGGATGTTCTTGTGCATCCCGAAAGAGGGTGCCCTCCAACGTTTTGCAGTTTGGCTGGCGGAGGGTTTCGTGTTCTTGAGGGATGTTCTTCTGTCCTGGGCTCAGCCGTGCAAGTCGCGGTCCTCATTTGCAGATGTAGGGCTGGCGCCCTCTAAGAGGCAGCCTCCTTCAAAAGAGTCCTCCCCTCCCTCCCTCCACCCCCGTGCGCGCGCCCTTACCGATGGAGGATGAGACACCGGACCCGGGGAAGGGGTCCAGACCTTTGGGGTCGACGCTGCGAACGCATGACGTCGGAGTTCTGAGGATGGCGGCGGCCGAGTCCCCAGTGCCGACGCCGACGACGACGACGACGACGACGACGACGACGACGACGACGACGACGACGACGACGACGACGACGACGACGACGACGCAGCGGAGCGACGACGGACGTCGGCGGACAACGGCGTCGGCGGCGTGGCGGAGAGGCGCGGAGCGCCCGGGGTACGCCCGCGCGGTTCGATCGGCTGCACGCCCAGGGCCCGGACGCGCGGCGCAGCCAGGGCGCGCTGAGCTCGCCGTCGCTGCAAGGGCGGCGGAGCTGAGGGGCCAACTTTCCACCACCACTACCATAGGTGGGACGGGGGAGAAGGGAGGATGGGGAGGTCCTCGTCCTCCTCCTCCTCCTTCTCCTTCTCCTCCTCCTCCTCCTCCCTCCTCCCTCCTCCTTCCTCCTCCCTCCTCCTCCCTCTTCCCTCCTCCCTCCTCCCTCGTCCTCCTCCTCCTCCTCCTCCTGCTCCTCCTCCTCCTCCTCCTCTTCTTCCTCCCTCTCCTGCCTTTGGTGGCGGTGGTGGGACATCGGCCCATCAGGAGCGCGGGCAGCGCCGCTGCCCTGCCGCGCAAGGCGGGCTTTGCCTCGCCAGCGGGGACCCCGACCAGCGCCAAGAGGCACAGCCTCGGCGGCGCCAGGGTGGGGCCTGGAGGGCGAGGGGCGTCGAGCGTGGGTTCAGCCTGGGCCCCCCTCCCGTCATCAGGGCCCCAACTCGGGCCGAACGAAGCCCTGACTCCGAGTCTGCCGTGCTTGGGGCGATCTCGCAAGCAGGGCGGACATGTTCGCACCAGCTTTTCAGGCTCCTCTGATGTCTATGTCCGCCCTGCTTTGCCGTCGCAGTTTCCGCCATACTTTTGCAGAGATCTCTGCCCCACTTTTTCGCATCGTTCGGGGTGCATTTCCGACAGAGCTGCAAGTCGGAAAATCAACCAAAGTACATCTGGAATCAGGGAAGGGGGGATAGGGAAAGAGGGGTTACGACATCTGCTGCATTCAGCTGGTTTTCGCCCCGCTGCCGGGCTCACTCCTTGATATACACGGGCGCCTCCCGGCGCCGGGAGGCGCCAGGGAAACCAGCTGCGTGAGCCGATTCTCTACCTTCCCTTTTGCTCTCCTACCCTTCTCGTCCCCCCCCCGACCATTCGGCGGAGAGACCCTTGGTGCGGGCTCACAGGGGTCCCCCTGATCGCTGAGCGAGATGCGATAGTGGCTGCTTGCGCTCTCAGATTTGGCCACCCCTGCGCCGCCTTCATCCGCGCACTAGAGGTCACTCTTGCCCAGGGGTCACTCTTGCGTGTGACCGGCCAGCCCTCGGCCAGGGCCCCATCTTTGAGTCTCCGAATAGCGTCCCGACTGCCAGCCCCAGGCCGAACGGCTTCGCGCGGCCCCGGCCCCGAGGGTCGCTGGCGGCGGCCCTGAGCGAGGCGGCGGCGGGGAGCCCCGAGGCAGGGCGGCCCGCGGGGAGGGACTCCGTGAGGGACTCGCTGGGCATCGTGGAGCCGGCGGGCGCTCCTGCCCACGGGCCCCCGGGGAGGCCGAAGGTCGCCACGGGGGCAGCGGGTCTGGAGGGACACCCAGAGATCCGAGGATCTGAGGTTTGGGAATCCGGCGGCGCTCCTCCTGGAGTTCGGCCTCTCTGGGGCCCGTCCTCGGGCCCAGGCGCCATCCAAGACGTGTCCGGGACGAGAAGCCACCCCCGGGGAAGGGGTCGGGACCCCCGGGGCCGCAGACGGAACCAAGAATCCAATCGGCGGATGTCTGGGAGCGGGTCCTGAGGCTTTTCGCCGTTTTTGGGGGCTTCCCAGGGCGCTCCACGGGTCCCGGGGCTGTTAGGGAGCAGCTCAGGAGGAAGATCTCGTCCTGGGGGAAGACCCCCGGGGTCCAGCACCCGCTTCCCGCAGGGCCCGCTTCCCCCCCATGGAAGGGTGACGTGGCAGTCTGCGTGCGGCTGCGGCCTGGGCCGCGGCATGACGTGTGCATCTCCGTCCAGAACGCAAACTGCGTGCGCCTGCAGTGCTGGGACGACGTCCGCGGCACTGGGAACAGTGGCCCCATCTACTGGTGCTCAGGAGAGGAAGAAAAATACCAATACCCCTGCTCGTCCTGGAGAGTCCTCGTCCTCGAAGTTTTGGCCAGAACGCACCCCTGGAGAGGTCTGGGCAATAGCTGCATCGGTACGCCTTTTTGGTGCCCTGAGGTGCGACCACGCCTTCGGCCCGGAGGCGTCGCAGGAGGAGGTGCTCAGGGCGCCAGAGACGGGGGCGCAGCAAACGGGGGCACGGGCAGCGCCCATTGCTACATTTGGCTATGCCCTGTTTAGGGGGTCCTGGGCGCCGTAGACAGGGGCAGAGTAAACGGGGGCATATTGAAAAGTGTAAGACTATGTTTAGCTGAGCTCCCGTTTGCGCAGCCCCGAGGTGTACGACGTGGCGGTGGCGCCCATATGCGCGTCCGTGCTCGAGGGGTACAACGGGGCCGTCCTGGCCTATGGGCAGACCGGGTCGGGGAAGACGCACACGATCATCGGTGATGCCCAGCACCGGGGCGTCATCCCGCGCGCCGTGGCGACGATCATCGATACCCTCCGGGACAGGCGGCACTGGTCGGTCGAGGTCTGCATGCTGGAGATCTACAACGAGCGGACCCGGGATCTGCTCGCCCCTGGCCAGAGCGTGTGCCAGGTAGACATCCACGAGGTGCAGGATTCATTCGGGTATGTTTCTCTACAGGAGGAGTATTCAAACATGACTCCCAAATAGTCTGGGGACGATGTTTTTGATTTGTTTTTGACTATTTGGGGGTGTTTTTGGTGCATTTTTAATTTTTCGCCCAAAATCTGCCTGTAGGGGGATGTGCCCGACCTGTGTGCAGGATGCCGCCGGCGTCTCCAGCTTCCAGTGCCCCGGGGCGACGAGGCGCGCCGTGCGGTCGGCCGAGGAGGTGCTCTCCGCTCTCGTGGAGGGCCTGCGGCGCCGCGAGACGGCGCACACGGACATGAACCACAACAGCAGCCGCTCGCACCTCATCTTCACGCTGGACGTGACGCAGGTGGACGACGCCCTGGGCGCGACCCTGCGCGGGCGCCTTCACCTGGTGGACCTGGCGGGGAGCGAGCGCCTGAAGCGGTCGATGGCCTCACAGGCCTCGAGCGTCAACGAGCGCGACCTCCTGCCGTCCTCTAAGAGCCCGCGGGACCTGAACGCCCAGCGGAAGGAGGCTGGCGCTATCAACAAGTCCCTCGCGCAGCTGGCGCTGGTCATGAGCATCGTTTCACTGATTCCGATCCCCAATGGCGTGGCTTGGGCCCCACTGGCAGATCTACCTGGGGATATAGGCTGCTCCCTCCGGGTTTCCCTACCCCCAACTGGGGTGGTGGGATGGTTGGACTAGGTACCATGGCCAGGTGGGGATGGGGACAGGTTATCCTCGAAAGGTAATTCATGCTGCCAGTGACCCCCCCCCCTGAGCTCTCCGCTGGTAATCCGTCAATAGTCAGTCAGACAGGTCGCCTTGCACCAGACGGTGCGCAAGCAAGAGAGTATGCTACAGCACAGAAGGTGCCATGCGCGGACAGCTGACTCCCGTGCCAGCGCTGCACCGCCCTCCGGACGGAAGTAGTCAGCACGACGGGCAGGGATGCCAGCAATGTCAAAACAATTTGACCATTCTTCCCCACGTTTGCCAGGGACGCCATCTCTTCCAGGGACCTGTCGGCTGCTTGAGAGTAAGACTGCCTGGTTCGAACACCGACTGTCTCACTGGATCGTTGCCCGCGCGCCTGGCGAGCTGCCCAAAGAAATTCATCTGTCGATTGAAGATGAGCTCGCTGAGCGGCCGTTCACCAGCCATGCTTAGCACGGCACGCTTCGACACGCGACTGAAAGAAGCAGATGGGACCCGAAATATTGACCTCAAACAGCGTGCTGGAAAGCCGCCAATTTTTTTACATTCTGCCTGATTAAGGCAAGCTTCAAACAGACAGTACACAAGCTTGGAAACAGTGCACGCGTTGAACATTCCTACTCTTCGTTGTCTGCTCAACGAAGAATGCGACCACACCGATTTCAATGCCTTGAAATCTTATTTGGCCATGCGGACTCTCTTGTTCAGCTCCGGAAGTAAGCAGGCGCCACGAATGATTATTGCGAGGGCCCTGCGGCCGCTGCCGCCGACCCTGGGAGGGGACGAAGAGGACGACGAGGGCGAGGACGAGGACGAGAAGGAGGGGTGGGGAAGCGGCAGCGGAGTGAGGGGAAGGAAGAGCAGTAGGATTGCGACGTTGCTTTCTGACCCGGGAGTTGCCCCAGGTCCATCCCGGCCCCCCGGCGGGGGAGGGAACACAAGGAAGAGGCTTCCATTCGATTCAAGTGTGATTTGGTTGTTTCATTTCACTTTGGCTGGCGCGCTGGAGGGAGCCTAGGGGAAAATAAGGAAACGGCGACGGCGACGATGACGAACGGAAGAACGTCTTCCACACGCCGACAGGTTCGGAGGATTCCCCCGTTCTTGGCGTGTTTGTGTTTGCGTGTGTGTGTGTGTGTGTGTGTGTGTGTGTGTGTCCGGGACCCCCCCCGAAATCGGACCCCGCAAATCCTGGGCCCCTGCGACCCCCTGGACCCCCCGGATCCGTGGCCCCGGGTACCCCTGGACGCGCCTGCAGGAGGCCTTCCAGGCGTTTCAGTGCTCCTGGAAGCCCTTGCTGGGCCTAGGCAGCGGGCCCAAATCGGTCAGGAGGGCGGACGAACGCCCACCCGAGGGCCCGAAGAGGCCCCAGACACCCACCAGACGCCCGAAGACGACTCCAAGAAGACCCCCAAGAGGCTCATCAACGCAGAACACATTGATTGCACAAGGTGTTTCGTATGATTTTGGGAATGCCCTGTTCTTCGGTCTTCTGGGCGTCCGAGACCGCCTGGGAGGCTCGAAACTCGCATTAACACCAACCGAAAGGGCTTCCAGGCAGTCCAAGAGAGCCCCAAGACGGCACAACAGGGTTCCAAGATGGTCTCCGAAGCATTCCACGTCGTGACCCGGTCGTTCAGGGAGACCGCGATTGGAGGTAGGGTGGCCCGAGGAAGCCCCCAGAGGCCCCAGAATACGCCTAGGAGGCCTCCAGAAGGCCTCAAGAAAGCCTGATCAACTTCTGTGATGCCCCAGAGGCTCTCCAAGGAGGAGCCACCGCAAAAAGAGCTGAGGATAATGGGGGAGAATTCGCAGGGTAGGGCGAGAATGAGGAAAAAGAAGCATGGAGCAAGGATACCAAATAACATCATTATAACGGCGATGCCAGTAAAGGCAAGAAGGAAATATCTCTAAATTGTCTGTTTGACCTTCTTGCCATTCCGCTTGCATACCAAACTTCAAGGACCAAGGTGTATGGCCCGAAGCGCCAATGCAGTCTTGTGTGTATCTCTCTCTCTCTCTCTATATATATATATATATATGTCGACTCCGATTTCTATATTTCTATAAGGCCAGGGACCCCGGACAGGCCCCCCGGAGCCCCGAGCGAATTTCGGACACCCCGGACTGCTCGGAGGCATCCCCCAGGCTGCTCGGACGCCCTTGCAGAGAGTTCCTTCGACCTTCCAGCCTTCTCGGAGGGTCTCAAGAGGCTTCCAATATTGGCCAAGGTAGCTCGTCGACAGCGCCAAAGCACACCAAAACGCCCAAGAGGCGCGTCAAACGCACTCACACACATCAACGAGGCTTCCGAATTGAGCCCGCGTATTTTAGAATCGTCCATTCCCCATTTCCCCATGGTTTTCGAAGGATTTCGGCGTTCTCGCCTCCTCGCGCTTCCACGCTCCAAGACGGCCTAAGAAATGCTAAAAACAGCCCCAAGAGCGGCTCAAAACGACCCACGCGGGCGTCAAGACGGCCCATGAGGCCCACAAAGGCTCCCAAAACGACCCAAGAGGGCTCTCGGACGGCGTAAGAGAACGCCCAAACGTCCCCCAAAGCGAGCAAAACGGACCAACACAGTCTCAAGAAGGCTCAAACAAAGTCCAGGAAAGGAAACACGAACTCACATTTCAAATATCCCCAGGATCTTCCCAGGGGCTCCCCCAGCGCCCCCGCGACGCCCCAAGAGGCCCTGATATTGCTTCTTCGGCCCTCTTGGGAGTGCTCATGGAGGCCTCTTCGGGCGTCATGGGGGCCTCTCCATCCGGAGGCCATCTTGCGCGTCTTGGAGCGATCGTCGGGGTCGGTCGTCTCGGGCCCCTCTAGGACCGCATTGGGGGACTCTTGGGGCCAACTGAGACGATTCAAAGGGACACGGGCCCCAGGAGTTCCGGCATCCTTCAGCATTAGTGCCCGGGGTATTTTTGGACCCCCCCCCGGGGCCGCCACGCGCGCGAACTAGAAACTTTCGAATCTTGTTCTCGGAGGTCTTAGCACGCCTCTTGCCCGTTGGGCCGGCGAATTTATGCGTTACTACCCGCGCGCGCAGATGCGTGCACATGTATGTGCACATGCTTATTTGCGTGCATGTGTGCTCACGTAGACATATACACGTATACATGACACAGATGTGTGCGCACCCATAGTTCGACGTTGCATATATCTGTATGATCCGCAATATGCGCATACGCATACTGTCTATATATATATATATACACACGTACAACGTGCATGCAGGTGCGCGTGTGCACATGCATGCGCATATTCAGGCGCGAATGTACACGCGCACGCACGCCGCCTGCGCGCGAAGCTCAAAGGACCAAGGTGCACGGCGCGAAACGCCAATGCAGTGTCTTTTTTATCTGTAGAGGGATCGACCAAAAAAAGACGACACCACCCCGCCTACGGCCCTCCATTTTGCGCTACGGCCCGTCGGGCGCCGTGGCGTACAGCACGCAAAAGCCCAAGCCAGAATTTATAGTATATGCTAAGGCCCGTGGGGCCGTAGGTGGGGTGGTGTCGTCTGCTTTCTGGTTCAATCTAGTACAGACCTTTCGAGACTAAGCGACACAGGTCATCCAGCGCCTCTCCTCTGGGGGAAGCCTGCGGCACGTTCCCTACCGGGACTCCATGCTGACGAGGCTGCTGGCCGACAGCTTCGGGGGCAGCTCGAAGACCTGCCTGATCATCACCTGCTCGTCGCTCGAGACTGGTGGCGCGCACGGGGGGGTAGGGGGGGGGGAAGGCTTCTGAGAAGGAGGCTGGTTCTCAGAAGGCGCGGACCTTGTCTCCAGGCGAGCCGCGGAAAAAAAAACGGGGCCGTCTGCGACGACGTTCGCGCGTAAGCTGCCCGTGTAAGGTCGCGCGTAGGCACTCTCGTCTCCAATGCAGCGTGCCGCGCTGGCGGCCCGCGCAAGCTGCGGCGTAGGATCGCTGTGCCATTTCGCGCAAGACCCGCTTCTGACTGTCGCGCAGATGTAGGGCCGGCGCCTTCTAAGAAGCAGCCTCCTCCTGAGAAGGCTCCCCCCTCCCCCTACTGCCCCGTGCGCGCCGCCAGCGAGAGGGACCGCGAGGAGACGCGAGGCACGCTCGAGTTCGGCAAGCGCGCTGGCCTGGTGCGCAACGTGGCCCAGATCAACATCGAGATGGCTCAGGAGCCGTCCGAGGTGGTTAAGGCGCTGCTGGCCAAGGATCGGAGGAGGACAAGGTACCCATACGGCCATCCGGCTACCCTTCGTCCGTGTTCCGCTTCTTCGGCCTCTCGGGGGGCCCTCGTCGCCACCGCCGTATTCGCCCCGAAATTCTGGTCAGAACGCACCCTGGGAGAGGTCGAGGGATCAGCGGTGTCGGTACCTTGTGGTTCCCCCAAAAAGGAGCTGGCGGAGATGACCAAGGAGAAGGAGGCGCTCCAACTCAAGGTGTTCAGTATCGTTTAACCGACCCCCATCCCCATCCTCATCCCCTTCGAGACCCCCGCCAAATTACCACCCCGGTTGGGGATACACCCCTCAAAATCCGAAGGGAACGGCCTATCTCCCCATCTAGGTGGGTAAATCGGCCAGTGGGGCCCAGGCCACGCCGCTGGGGATGGGGATCGGTGAAACGATGCTCAGGTGTGCGAGGCGGCCGCGGAGGTGCTCCAGCTGCAGAGGCTCCGGGCGCAGGACGTGCGGAGGCTCGAGGAGGAGAACGGCGCGCTGGAGGAGGAGCTCCGCCGCACGCGGGAGGAGCAGTCCGAGACGCACCGCCTGGTGCAGGCGGCGCTCGCGGTTTCCAGCCAGGCGCAGGAGGGGAGGGGAGGAGGGAGTGAGGGAGGGAGGGGGGGAGCGATGGAGCGACGGAGGGAAGGAGGCAGGGGAGGAGGAGGAGGAGGAGGAGGAGGAGGAGGAGGAGGAGGAGGAGGAGGAGGAGGAGTCAAGGAGGAGGAGGAGGAGGAAGAAGAGGAGAAGAAAGAGGGGCGAGGGAGTAGTAGTAGTAGTAGTAGTAGTAGTAGGGGAGGAGGAGGAGGAGGCGGAGGAGGGAGGAGGAGGAGGCAGGAGGAGGAGGAGGAGTTGGGAGGAGGAGGAGGAATAAGAGGAGGTGCAAGAGGGCGAGGGAGTAGGAGGAGGAGAACAGGAGAGAGGGAGGGAGGGAGGGAGGGAGGGAGGGAGGGACAGAGGGAGGGAGGGAGGGAGGGAGGGAAGGGAGGGAGGGGAGGGAGGGAGGGAGGAGGAGGAGGAGGAGGAGGAGGAGGAGGAGTCAGGAGGAGGATGAGGACGAGGACGAGGGAGTAGGAGGAGGAGGAGGAAGAACAGGAGGAGAAAGAGGGGGCAGGATGATGATGATGATGCTGATGATGATGATGATGATGATGATGATGATGATGATGATGATGATGATGGTGGTGGTGGTGATGATGATGATGCTGATGATGATGATGCTTATGATGCTGATGATGCTGATACTGATGATGATGATGCTGATGCTGATGATGATGCTGCTGCTGATGATGATGATGACGACGACGACGACGGTGATGATGATGATGATGATGATGATGAGGATGATGATGAGGATAATGATGATGATGATGATGATGATGATGATGATGATGATGATGATGATGATGATGATGATGATGATGATGATGATGATGATGATGATGATGATGATGATGAT